GCTTGTCTTCCATGGCTCTCTCTGCCTGTTGTGGGCAGGGTTTGGTTCCTGTGTTGTTAGGGGCCAGCCTGGGGTCACCTTGGGCTTGCGTAGGGTCAGACCAGGCATTTGCAGGGCATTCTTCCTGTGTTGTCCTCTGAGAAGCTCTTGTTGGTGGGTGGGGCTTGCAGTCAGAACCGAGGTCTGCCTCCAGCCCACTGCTGGGGCTACAGCTGCAGTTGTCCTGGAATGTTGGTTGCCTTCCCCTCGCCCTGGGGCAGGAGTTGCTTTGGGGTGATGTTGGCCCCTGATGGGACTGTTTGCACAGTGCCAGGCTGGGTGCACTGCTTTAGATGGGCTCTGGCCAAAGGTGTATTGGAGGGGGTGGGTCCCGCAGGAGAACACGGGGGCAGGGGTGTGCGGAGTTAGCAAGGTTCGTGAGGGCCACGTGCAGCCCAGATCTGGCTTCAGGGGGCGTGTCTGCAGAGGAACATTGTTAGCAAGCAGGTAGAGAGTATTTGTCCTGCAGCAGGCGTCCCTGTTTCGAGGCAGGGAGGGCAGGGAGAGGAATGGTGCCTGCCACTGTTGTTCCTGGAGAAACTTCCCCAAGATCCCTTCCCTGCAGCACGTATTCTAAGGTTACTAAACAGACCTCCCTCCTGTGAGCCCCAGGTGTTTCTCATCCTGTTGCTTCTGTGCTGTATCTCAGCAGGACTGTTTGTTATGCTGTCTCTTTAAAGGCGGGGACTCTGTCTCCTCACCCTCCAGCTCTCCAGAGTCATCCCTGCTGAGTTTAATGTTTAAGCTCTACTGATGGTAGTAATTCAAGAAATTCTGCCCCTCTAGTTTGCAACGCCAGACGTTATGGGCCTTGTCGTCCGTGTGTGAGTCCCCCTGTGCTTTGGGTCCCTGGTGTGAGGGTCCACGCCCAAGGAGTTTCTCTCCCGGGACAGTCCTGGGGCTCTGGTTAATTGCCAACCAGGTCTCTGCTCTTCCTACCCTCTTCACAGTGCCTCTTCTCTACATGTAGCTGTCATGAGTCTGTTCTGCTAGGCTTCAGGTCATTTTCTGGGTTGTTTACACTGAGGTGGGTGTTCTCTTGCTGTATCTGTGTCATTATGTGAGCTTGGGATCCTCCTCCTGTGCCCTCTTCCCTGGAAGTCCAAGAAAATGATATTGAAAGCCGTGGCCCTGAACAAAATGATTGAGAAAGGGGACCATGAACTCAGGCAAGGCTGAGCTCATCTAGAGCTGACGGAGGGGAGGGGATGGAGTTGAAAGCGGGTGTCCAATGTCATTTGTTTTTTTTATTTTTTGAAAGAGAATGCCTGTGAATGGGGGAAGGGCAGAGAGAGGGTGACAGAGGATCTGAAGTGGGCTCGGAGCTGACAGCACAGAGCCAGACACGGACCTCGAACTCAGAAACCGCAAGTTCAGACCTGAGCCAAAGTTGGATGCCTGACTTACTGAGCCACCCAGGTGCCCCCAATGTGTCATTCTTAGCACCTCCTCTTATGAAAATAGAACCATGTTGTAAACAATGCATACGATTCTTAGAGTCCCGAGAGTGCTCAGCTATCACTGTATGCCATATCACAGTATTAGCACAAACCAGAATCAGTCCCCTCAGCAGGGAGTGTCAGCCCCAGAGCAGACAAGAGTCTCTTCCCATCTCACGACTTTTTTTTTTTTATAACATTTATTCATTTTTTTGAGAATGAGGGAGACAGAGCACAAGCGAGGGAGGGGCAGAGAGAGAAGGAGACACAGAATCCGAAGCAGGCTCCAGGCTCTGAGTTGTCAGCAGAGAGCCTGATGGGGGGCTTGAACCCATGAGCCACGAGATCATGACCTGAGTCAAAGTTGGGCGCTCAACCGACTGAGCCACCTAGGTGCCCCAAGGTCAGGACAGTTTTGAAGGAAAAATGCATGGTCTTGAGCACAGAAGACCCAAAGTAAAGACAAGTGGCCGTGTGGTATTTACGTAGTGTTTTGGAAACATGAGGGTCAGGGATGCTAAATTAGCAGGCTAGAATAATCAAGGTATGAATCAGAAATTTATACCGGGACACTGGCTCTGCTTCTGGTTTGTCCTACTCGAGCTGCTTTGACAGGAGAAGCGTCCCGCAGACTGTCCCTGGCTGCGGATGACTTTACTTCACATCAGTGCCACTTTAGTGCCTGTGTGCTCCATGCTGGGGACGTGGAGGGACTCTGTTGATGGGGCCAGCGGGCTGTCGTGGGTGATGGCAGTGAACTACAAGGCAATGTGCAGAGACCTGAGGGCCCAAATCGGTGTTTCATCAGATTGTGTTTTCCGTTTGGTGATCTCATTGCACTGAAGACAAGCCTGAGAGACGCTGAGGCAGAAATGGCGGGTGACCAGTTTTATTCTGTCTGCCTGCGTTTAGAGTGACTTTTTCACAGCAGAGCCAAAATCAGTTAAGTCATTGTCATGAGTTTAAGTATGAGACAGGAGTACAGATTTCGTTTGCTGATACTCCTGAAATTTAAAATTATTGACTCAAAAAAAATCATTTTTTATTTTTTCAAGTATCAACATACAGTTTTTACTTATTGGCCACATACTATCATCTCGTTCTGTTTACCTGCTGTCTCTGTACAAAATAATATTTTAAAAAAATGTTTTTTAGTGTTTTTTTTTTTAATTTTTTTAACGTTTTTTAATTTATTTTTGAGGCCGAGAGAGACAGACCATGAATGGGGGAGGGGCAGAGAGAGGAGACACAGAATTGGAAGCAGGCTCCAGGCTCTGAGCCATCAGCCCAGAGCCTGACGCAGGGCTCGAACTCACAGACTGTGAGATCATGACCTGAGCTGAAGTCAGATGCTTAACCAACTGAGCCACCCAGGCGCCCCTAATGTTTTATTTTTTGAGAGAGAGACAGACCATGAGCAGGGAAGGGGCAGAGAGAGAGGGAGACACAGAACCCGAAGCAGGCTCTAGGCTCCGAGCTGTCAGCACAGAGCCCGATGCGGGGCTTGAACCCACAAGCCGTGAGATCATGACGTGAGCTGAAGTCAGACGCTTAACCGACTGAGCCACCCAGGCACCCCAATATACAATTTTCGGTTCTTATCTATGTCACTTAAATTTTCTCTTTGACCTTTCTTGTCACTTGTTTTGCTGGGAAAGGTATTTTTGGTTATCCTTATTGCTACAGAATTTAGTTGGCAAGGCCCCTAGAGCAGTTTCTTCTTGCCAGTGTCGTTAATGAGGAAATGATCCCAAGTATCAGGTTGCTATGCCAAGGAGGTCAGTAACAAGCCTTTTTGAAGTTATTAAAGAGGGAAAGTGCATATTGTAAATGTTGTAATATTGTAACCTCACCCAGAAAAAGTAAGTAGAAGTCTATTTCAAACTTCTACAATCATAAACAGTGTTATAGCATGAAAGGAGATAAGGTCTTTAAATATTTTTAAATGTTGTTTTTTAATGTTTATTTTTGAGAGAGAGAGAGAGCGTGACAGGCGGAGGGGCAGAGAGAGGAGTCACAGAATCCAAAGCAGGCTCCAGGCTCTGAGATGTGAGCACGGAGCCCGACGTGGGGCTCGGACCCACGAACTTCAGTTGCTTTACAGGCACGAGTGACTAGGGGCCACCACATGCGTGGTATTTGCGTCGTCGCAGACACCGTAGCTGGGCAGTGGCAGGCGGATGGCCTGCTCGCGGCCGCGTGCTCTGCCCACAGCAACCGCCAGGCCTCCTCCCCGCGTTCACTGCAAAGTTCTGTCTCAAGGAGATAAGCCAGTGACTCAATAAGGCAACACACCTGCCTGCTCATCTTCTGTATTAATCTGGAGCCAAATTACCTTCTAGCCTAACGTACATTTACATGCTTTGTTTGTTGTGTATGTAGCTCTGTGAGCTTTTAAGTCCCAAGAGCAGCGGTTTGTATACCTGGAACGGCACCACTTGAAAGAAAGCATATGAATTCATTCATTGACTTCATTCTTGTGTATAATGTACAATTCTTCCCCTGGAAAAAAAAAAAAAAAGCCCCGATGCCTGTTGGGTAATTCTTAAAACCTCTGGTAAGTGGTTCCCGGAACTGATGGTGCCCGCTTGATATCCTCTTGTGCTCTCTGATTGAAAGCTCCTCTTTTCTCGATCCAAAGTGCTCCAAGTGAATTCCCACTAGAACCACCCAATCCCGTCAAAGCGTTTAACCCTCTGGAAACCTCCGTTAAACACTTGGCGTGAACAGCGGGGACGTGGTATTAATCGGTGGCAGGGCAGTGCCTTTCCACACCTTCGGGCACACGGGTTGGTGAATAAACCTGATGCCGGCCACGCCTCCTCTTCCCACGCTCGGCGGGGGGCTTGTCATCAGTCTGTCCTTTATCTGAGAGATTTGCCCCGAGTGAGGCCACGTGTGGACAGTGGACACACTGTGCCAGGGAACCCACGTTCTGTCTTGGACAGCAAGTCAGGGTTCCGCAGAGATCAGACACACGGGCGTGTGAGGATATGCACCTGTGCACGCTGGAAGGGAAAGGTGCCCACCTGGGTCTGTGCTGGGGAACGTGCGAGGCACACAGGGGAGCTCGTCTGACTGCTCAGTGCTCCCAGCGTGAGGAAAACGCTTTGATTTTGCCTGGGTCTGTCGGCTCTGTCAGCCACCTGTGGGATTCACACTCGGGACGCTCATTCCCTCTCCCAGGAGCAAAGACGCCCACGGCCGAGTGCCGCCCTTTCTTGTGGGGGTTCCGCTCGGCGCCGGCCCCGCGGCTACGTTTCTCTCAAGACCTCCTGACAGCCCCGGGGCTGTGACTTTCCTGTGCTTTCCGGTTGGTCCTCGCATTTCGCCAGGTGTCCCCCCAGGCTTTCCTCCCGACACTGAGTTCTGCAGGCCCGCTCGCCTCCTCGGCTCTGCGTCTGCGTTTGTGGTTCACTTGCGCAGCTTCATGTCCTTCCTGCCCGTTGTCGCGATCTGAGAGCCGCGGGCTGTGCGGCCCGTGGCTCCAGACCGTCCTCTCTGTGCCTTCTGACCTTACAGATCTCAGCGTCGGCCGATACCACGTGCAGTGGCTGCCGGAGGTCTGTGCCCACAACCGCAGTGCCGGAGCAGAGACCTCTTCTGGCATCACCCAGGTAAGAGACGGTCACACCGCCCGATTCTCGGCGCAATTTCACTTCCCTCCATGTGTGGAAACGGCGGACCGAGAGCTGTGCCTGGGGTACGACACACACAGCTCGTTCTCACAGATTAGCTGTTGGGTGATCGCCAGGTGGAAGTGAAAACACAACGGTCCTTGCGTTCAGTCCTGCAGTATCTGCTGAGGGCTCCGTCCCGTGGGGGGCACACGGCAGGGCCCGAAATGCGGACGCTGCAGACGCGGTTCGTGGGGAACTCCCAGGTCAGGGGGGAAACGCTTCTGAGACCCCACGTGTCTCGACTTAGTTGGACAGAAGCTTTGAATTGTTCTGAGTCCTGAGTTGGCAGCACGATCTGCGGGTGGGACGGTGCCTGTGAACTTCCGTCCGACCCGGTCACGTCCCGTCTTGCTCTGGCGCGTCGCTGGCTAGTTCCTCCTCGTCCGGGGAAGGAAAGACGTTCCCTGAGTCGCACACGGTGTGCCAGGACCGTTTCTGACTTTTCACCTGGACAGAACGCTACGTCCTTGCAGGCAGGAACCCTTCGGTACCAGCCAGTGTGTTATTCCAAATATTTGGGGCTGATGCACGAGCTACAGAGGGCCATCAAGGGACCAACAGCAAAACGTGCAGAGGGCGGTGAGGTGTCCAGAATATCGATGCCAGCAACTTGTCTGTGATCTAGCAGGACAGTCTAAGATTTCCAAAGGCATGGCCCCACACGTCTCACGTGTTGATATACGCTATTTCAGCAGAACATTTTTCTTTGGACTATTTTCTAAAGCAGCAAGTGGGGTATTTTTAGAATCCTGTCTTGATCACATAACTTTAAGGTAGTAAGATAAAACATGCCAGTGGGTCTGCAGCAATACAGCTTTTTCCTGGATTTGACTTGTCCCAACTCATGCTCGCCAGCGTTGTTCCTTTTATGTTTTCTTAAGTGGTTCCCAAAGTTTGTGGCGTTCGCTTAAACAGAAAAAAGAAACATTTTTAAAAAGGGAAAACTACTTGAAAAGCAGAGAAAGAAATGACCGGAAGCAGGGCTTATTAAGTTTTTTGTGGGCAGAGGCGAGGCTTCTAGTAGTTTTTTTTACTTATGCACGCGTTGGAATTGTATGAAATCTGGCTTATTTTCAGGGGACCACCCAATCCTAGGCTTACCCTCTCTAGAAAGTCTGAAGGTCATAATACGCATTGGCTGAACACGTATCCTGGATCTGGTAGAAATAAGAATGAAAATCCCGAGAAAGCAGTCTGCTAAAGGCTCACACCTCGTCCACTGCCATTTGTCAAGGACGTTTAGACCCATTTATTTTCAAGCTCTGATGCAGCACGGGCTACTTTATCTGTAGCTACGGAGGCCTGCCTTCCCCGCCACTCGCACGCATTCTTTACGTAGCTGCGAAGTCTGTCCTTAGTGGCTGACGTGGGCTTCCAGCAGATTCCCATCCGGAGTGTAGATTTGCTCCCGAAGAGCAGTGTTTCAGGCAGAGGCTGCCATTGGTCCTGCTCTCCCCATGGCATGCCCGGTGCCCTGGCTCTGCCCGCCCACCCGTCACCCCTGGGCACAGCGCCAGCTGCTTCCTCTCCGCACCTGTCCCCCACTCTGCCCACCACTACGGCCTCCATCCTGACCCGTGACCGAGGCTGCGGGCTGAGCCCTGCATCTCATACACGTGTGCCTCAGGCTCTGGTACACACTGGATGTCAGGAAGAAATGAGACGTGGGTTCACAGTCTGGCACTCCCACCTGTGTGGCTGGCAACCATCACATGTGGCCTGGAAGGTCCCATGAAGCTGCTTCGGTCCTGCCACGCCGCGGTCCTGTTCACTTCCAGGGGCCGTGTCCCACGCCATGGGACGGCCCACAGTCGTGAGGAACCAGAGCATGCACAGTGTCTCCTTCGTAGTTTTTATAAAAGCCACACTGCACGCATGCACAGGAAACTATCCTTATTAGAACAGGACTCATCTGCCGCATCTTGGTCCCTAGTGAGACGTGTGGCTAGCATATTCCCTCTCTCTCTCGCTCTAGGAAAATCATATCATTCTTCAGGATCTGTCGTTTTCCTGCAAATATAAGGTGACCGTGCAGCCGATTCGGCCCAAGGGCCGCTTGAAGGCAGAAACCGTTTTCTTCACGACTCCGCCGTGCTCTGCCCTGAAGGGGAAAAGCCACCGGCACATGAGCTGTCCCGGCGAAGCAGGTACGTCTTGAGCTGAACGTGCATTGTGATGCCAGCCACACTTGGAAAACATTTCCAAACTGTATTTCACAACACCCAAAAAAGCAAACGTCCCCCGCTTTCTAAATCTGACGGCCCAGGTTGGGAGGCAATATATGGCCGTGGGCCACATTCTGTCCTTCTAACAGCACGACATCCTCCGCTGGCAGTATCACCCCTTTAGAAACGAAGCCAAGGTTTCTCCAGTGCTTGTACTGAGGCGTGTTCTGTAGAAATTATTTCATTTTCACCCCACCCCTGTGCCACGTGACCTACCTTTACGTACTTTGCACAACACCCCTCCCCTGACCTTCATCCGTTTGCTCTCCTTACCGGGACCTGTCCTCCTGTCCTGAGGCGGAACGAGTACCCCAGGACTTGGCGAAACGCAGCTCTGACACGGGATCACTCCTCACAGCGTCACTACCCACCCCGGTCATGGCGCTCACTTCTCCTCTTGAGGAAGTGGCCAGATCTTGCCACGTGGCGGAGACCTCTCTCCTCCCGTCCCCAGAGCTGGGTCCTAAAAAGAGTCCCCAAACCACCCAGCAGAGTGGCCGCACTGAGACCACCTCTGGCTGACTGTCCCCGTAGGTCATGGAGGTGATGGCCTGAAGCCCTGCATGAGGACCGAGGTCAGACCGCGTGTGCCTCCCCTGGGGAGCGGCTGCCTGAAGTGCCCGCGATATGTGCAAACGGCTCCCGTGTCCAGTCCGTGTCCCGCAGCCTAACTCTGCCTCTTATGTCCTCTCCCTCCAGGTCACGTGCCTGCCAAGGTGCTCGCCAAGCCCGAGAACCTTTCTGCCTCGTTTGTCGTCCAAGATGTTAACATCACGGGCCACTTTTCTTGGAAGATGGCCAAGGCCAATCTCTATCAGCCCATGACTGGCTTTCAGGTGACCTGGGCCGAGGTCACGACGGAGAGCAGACAGAACAGCTTGCCCAACAGCATCATCTCACAGTCGCAGATACTGCCTTCCGTAAGTGTCGACTTGCTTCCTGTATGCATGTCGCTCATGTCCCCGGCTGGTCGTCAGCGGCCACTGGAGGTGGGGGGTACTCGTGCCACAACGCGTGCCGTACTGCTGAGGCGTCTTCCCACATTTTCTTCTTCTGGAGCCATTGTTGTGCAAGTGTTCATGACCTATGCTAGGTGCTGTTGCGAGCAGAGAAAACGGTCAGCGGGACATAACCTGGGATTCCTTCAGCAGCCCCGAGCCTGTCCTGTGGGCAGGTGGTTTGACCGTTGTCCCTCGGGTCCAAGTGGACCTGCCCTGTTTGAAGTGTTAAATTGGGCGAAAACAGCTCAAAGAAGCTTGTTGTTTCTCTCCTTTTCCCCCTCAAATCTGGCGAGAGCCCATAATGAATTGGCCTGGCTTCCAGGCCACTTAATTCCTTGGCTTGAAAAAAAAACAAAACAAACCCCATGTGTGGGCTTTTACCCTCTCTAAAAATGCCCTTAGGACATCCAACTCCTGGTCCACCGAGAAAGAAAGGAAAGAAAAAAACAAGTCCGGAAGGAAAAATTCCTTGGAATTAGAAAAGTAGTTATTCTATGAATGTGTTAGGTTTTATTGAATTCTGAAAAGAATGTGTTGGCATGAAAATAAACATGTTCAGTCCTGGGCATTGACAGATACTGTGTTTTGTGGAAAACTCTTGGCTCGTTGACTGAACTTTGGATGATCAAGAATTCACATCACAAGATGTGCAGATGAAAACTTTCAACCATGGGAAAGTCTTATGTTAAGGAACAAACACGGAAATCTCAAGGGTGAGCCCTGAGAACTGGCACTTTGGCACGCATGAACCCTGCCAAGTGCGCTGGGCTGCCAGGGTCGAGCAGGGTGCTGAGAGGCGACTCGGCACAGGGCTCTGGCCGAGTGGGAGCCGCCAGTCTCCCCTGTGAGGCTGCTGCGCTTCCCACCTGCTCTTCGACCACTGCCACCTGTCCTCCACGCTCCCACTGTTCTCTGACCACTGCCACCTGTTCTCTGACCACTCCCACCTGTCCTCCACGCTCCCACCTTTCTGACCATTCTCACCTGTTCTCCACGCTCCCACCTGCTCTCCACATTCCCACCTGTTCTCTGACCACTGCCACCTGTCCTCCACACTCCCACCTGCTGACTACTGCCACGTGTTCTCTGACCACTGCCACCTGTCCTCCATGCTCTCATCTGCTGACCACTGTCACCTGTCCTCCACGCTCCCACCTATCCTCCATGCTCCCACCTGCTCTGACCACTGCCACCTGTCTTCCACGCTCCCACTGTTCTCTGACCATTCCCACTTGTTCTCCATGCTCCCACCTGTTCTCTGACCACTCCCACCTGTTCTTTGACCACTGCCACCTGTCCTCCATGGTCCCACCTGTTGTCCACACTCCTACCTGTTCTCTGACCACTCCCACCCACTCTCTGACCACTGCCACCTGTCCTCCACGCTCCCACCTGTTCTCTGACCACTCCCACCTATTCTCCATGCTCACCCCTACTCCACACTCAGATCTATTCTCCGGCCACTCACAACTATTCCACACTCACATATCCTCCGTGCTCCCACCTGTTCTCTGTGCTCACATGTTCAAGGGCTCACACCTATTCTCCATGCTCACACCTGTTCTCGACCGCTCCCTTTTTCTCCACAATCACACCTATTCTCTGGCCGCTCACACCTGTTCTCCGTGCTCACACCCAGTCTCTGCGCTAACACCCATTTGACCACTCACACCCGTTCTCTGACTGGGACCAGCCTGCGGGAGAATGCGTCTGCACTGTGCCTGCTGTTTTCAAAGGGTCACTGATGAGCATTTCCTTTTGTGTGGCTCCCTCAGGATCATTACGTCCTAACAGTGCCCAATCTGAGGCCATCTACGCTGTACCGACTGGAAGTGCAGGTGCTGACCGCGGGAGGGGAAGGGCCGGCCACCATCAAAACTTTCCGGACGCCCGACCTCACACTGCCCTCGGTGCACAGTGAGTGTGGGACACAGAAAGTCAGCAGATGTGGGGAAACACTCCGATAAATGACCGAGTTATCACAGATCCCTGTGAAGCGGGGGGTTCTCTTCATCTCCAGTCCTTCCGCCCCATGCGTGTCCAGCACGGGACTTGATTCTAGCCACATTAGCATCATCGTGTGCTTGGTGACTAAGTGCTCCCTCCCTGCCTGGCATCCCTTTCCTACCTTCTGTTTTCTACACGTATCAGGCTCTCTACTTACCTTTTACACTGTAAATACACATGAGGGAGAAAAATCTATAACCTCACAGCAATCTGAAATTGTTTGAGAAACTACGATTTTCACATGCGATGATCTAGGAAACACGTTGCTAAGGATTATTTTCTCACGACACATATTTGAGTGTAATCTATGACATACATTTTCTTCATACTATGACCCAAATCAGTCTACTGGATTTACTGTGAAGTCCAGGTTTTTAAAAAGAATCGTCACCCACGGTTTCAAAAACACTGAGACTCTTGCCGATTTTTAGATTGTGGACTTCATCTCTTTCCAGCTTAAATTTATAAAGCGGTGCCTCCAGACTCGTCTGTTGCTAAGAAAATAGAGCAGGAATCCTGGTTTTACATTTACAATTGTACTAGCTACATTTGCCCCGATTACCGTTCGCGGCTAGAATGGAGGCAGACGCCAATGAGCCTGGGAGAGCTCGGCAGCCCCTTCTCTTTGTGAAGGTCGGGTGAATGCTGTCCTGATACTCCTCCTTTGAAAATGGGTTTCATGCGAGGACTGGTTACGTTTTTAACTTCCGAGGAAATAGAAGGAGTTTTTTTTGGAGGGGGTGGGGCGCACCTGGGTGGCTCAGTAGGCTGACTGTCCGGCTCTGGGTTTCAGTCAGGTCTGGATCTCATGGTTCGTGAGTTCGAGCCGCACGTCGGGCTCCACGCTGACAGTGCAGGGCCTGCTTGGGATTCTCTCTGCTCCTCCCCTTCTCTGTCAAAAAACAAACCTGAAAAGAAAAGAAAGGGCTTTGGTGTGCTTGGATAACTGTACAATGCAGGAAAGGGGGTTGTCCTAGTCCTCTTGTGAGTTTATGGATTTGGGGGAGAAACCGAGGGGTGAGCAAGAGCAGGAGGGGAGGCCGATTCGGAGCAGGGAAGACGAGGATGTGGGAGGGAAGACTTCCTGGCTCCGATCCTTTCACCGTCAGCCGGTACCCGGCTTCCTGCAAAGCAGCAATGACTGATACGTCTGTCCTGTCACCCTTCAGGACCCCACCTCAAACATCGGCATCCTCATCATTACAAGGCTTCCCCAGAAAGATACTAGACGGCTCCAAACGATGTCTAAGAAGTGAAGGAATGTGCCGGCGTGCCGAGCTGCCGGGCCGGCGCCCCACACAACTCCCTGCCCCCGTAACTCTGCGTCCGAGGAACCTCTGCTGATCTCGGGCACCTCTGGAAACTAGCAACACACAGCCAGTGGGGACGGACCCAGCTTCCTGCGGGGACGGAGGAAAGGAAGGTGAGGCCCGTGACACTGGACGCCAAAATATCCACATACGAGTCCCCGTCGAATGACTGCAGAAGTGAGATCTCCCTGCATTTGGAGGAGCGCATTCTCAACACAGTCCACACACGCACACGAAGCGTAACGCTAAACCAACAACACGTTTTTAGCGTAACGCTAAACCAACAAACGATGGCTTTGATTTGCAGAGTCACCTGAGATGATGCAGTTTTTAGGCCCTATTTATTCCGACCTTTCCTAAGATGATTTATACCACGTGTAGTTTTTAACTGACAAAGGTTAACCTCAAATACAGCAATTAATTTAAATCTCCGCATGTCCCTAAGCTACGTTCACACGAAGGCGAATGAGCATCGCGTCTGTCAACGGCGGTTTTCAAAAGCCATCCAAAACAGGAGAGATTCAGCCCATCACGCTGCTGTCGAGAGTCTGCCTTGGAGAAATGAAACTTCTTTCCTGGGGATACTTTTTAACATTTCATCCTGCAAAATGAGACATTTTCCTGACATGTTTTCTTCCCTTTTCCTTGTTTTCTTAATGCAGAAAAGAGCTGCTGATAGGCTTTGTCTTACCACTTCACGAACCTAAAAATTTACAAAACGTCTTGCTCAAAATGAAAGGATCCCAACTACTGGGTATCTTCCAGTCCTTACTAAGTTTTGCCTTTTCTTAATCAAAGTAAGCTACTTGTATGCTAGAATATTCCCTATTCTCGGTCATGTAGGAAACACGAGGCCATGATTGACAGAGGACGGCTATTTAGTCTATCAAATCCATTCTATCGTACTGTTTGCCTCCAAACTACCCCTTTGTGGCATGGACTCGGGTCAAGACATATCAACCATATGTGATGTTGCAGTGCACCTTGGGGCAGCCTTACACCCAGAAGCGTTTAGTCGGATAAAGTTTGCTCTTGAGGGAATATCCACATTTATGGTTTGAAACGCACAGATATGTGTACTTGTTTGTGTGTGTGTATGTGTCTCAGGCACACACACATCACAGACCTTGAGCATGACTCACCCAAGAAATGGTTTTCACAGCTACCGAAGGTGGATAAAGACACAGTGCTTCTAGAGAAAAGGATTATATATTTTCCCCACCGGTGTTTCTTCTATGAGGAAACAGCAATGTGTCAGAAGTTAAACATTTAAAGGGAAAGCCTTCCTCATCCCACTATGTACCTACGTAAACTGGGGAAGGTTTCGGTACCGTCTTCTTGGGTTTTGATGGTGGGACTGGGTACTTACCGTGGTGTGGTTTCCTGAGAGCGTGCGGACGCCCTGACGGCTCCTGGAGGAGAGAACTCTGGACTTCTTCACTTTTGTGGCTTCTCCACAGTGTCAGGAAGCAAATGCACTACAAAATGGAGAGAGACTGTTTTTCCTGTCCTGTCGATGCACATCTTTAGGAAACACGGTCCATACGCATGGATATGCGGTGACAGATACTGAAAACTGGTTCCTGTGTGGTAACGACTTTTAAAAGTCGACGACACAGGCAGTATTTTGCAGCTTAGCACAAGTGACGCTCCTGGGGAATCTCAGCAGGAAGCGCGTGTTGCTTCCTAAGTGTTTTCTGCAGCTCCCAACGGGGTCTGCGACACCCTTAGCACAACGTGGTGTGAGGTCACCTGGCTCCCAGAGTTTCGCATTTGGAACGCACAGCACGGCAGACAGCCCTCCTTTCAAACAGCCCCGAGCTTGACCCAACACCACAGTATCTTCCAGGAAGCTCTGACTCATGCCAGTGCCCTTAGCAGCAGCTGAATTTCAAATTGTCAAATTTCCGCAAATGAAGATGTCTAACATTGGCTACAAGTTTGTTACTTTGTCACGAACAAACCCAATATTTGCGCCAGCAAATTTTTGTATGGTTGTATAGTTCAAAATGGAGGCGTGTATACATACATACAAAACATTAAATTATTATAGAAGTTTAATTTTATAAAGTTTAATTATGTTTCTTTTATCTGGGTAAGAGACGATGAGCAAATCTATGTTTAGTTTGCATGAACGTTCTGAAGCTTACAGCTCCCTTAGGAAATCGAAAGCAGCTCCTAGGAGCATCTAATTCTGCAGTAACATTCGTAACTTAAATATTATTCACATTTTCGGAAGACAAACGCTATTGATGGGGTGATTAAGGAAACATGAGTTTCTTCTATGAATTTCAATCATATGCAAATCGGCCAAAATATACATTTTTTTTAATTTTAAAAATTTGAGTGCCCTAATTAAGGGATATAACCTATGGGTTGTTTTTTTTTTTTTCTCTAAACACAGTCTACGTGGCTAAGTCTCGAATACATCTTACTGAAATTAAATGCATCTCTCTTCTGTGAGGACACATATATTCAGTGACAGTATTCACTCTTCAAAATGCCCACCCTTGGGGCGCCTGGGTGGCGCAGTCGGTTAAGCGTCCGACTTCAGCCAGGTCACGATCTCGCGGTCCGCGAGTTCGAGCCCCGCGTCAGGCTCTGGGCTGATGGCTCAGAGCCTGGAGCCTGTTTCCGATTCTGTGTCTCCCTCTCTCTCTGCCCCTCCCCCGTTCATGCTCTGTCTCTCTCTGTCCCAAAAATAAACAAACGTTGAAAAAAAAAAAAATTCAACATGCCCACCCAAAACAGCAAGTCCTCAAGTCCCGGCTGGTGGCTTCACCGCAGCGGCCGGTGAAGTACCTGTTCTGCCCTCTTTTTCTAACTGGAGCCCCGTGGGGTGACATCTATAAGTGAGCGCGTGCCCTTTTAAGCCATTCGTTGTTTTAATATGACATAGTAGAGACACTAAAATTGATGGCAGGGAGTTCTTTGAAACGATTATGAAACAAACCCAAGTTTAAAGATACGTCTGTTTCCTGGGAACCTGAAAGAGCCCGTCACTAACGTTACAAAGCAGGCTTTCTGCAGCTCAGCAGATGGGGCGCTGGGACCGGTTACGCTCTGGGGTGTAGCACAGCATCCCTGGCTCCCTACCCGTCAGAGGTCCCCGGCCGGGGACAGCCAGTGATTCTTTGCCTTGCATGAGGAACTGAGTAAATTACAGGAGTGAGCCCCGGGAAGTTACAACATTCGACTTCAAAGCCCCCGTAGTGTGTCTCCTGTGCTCTGAAACCCGTGATGGCGACGCTGAATTTTGACTCGTGTCTGTATCGTGCAAGTACCCACAGAAATTCTGTGCCTCCTACGAGTCAGCGTCACTTGTGATAATGACTTATGTATTTAATGCCCTTTCTTACACCTTGTGCCATGGATTTAGTAACTAAGTTTGCTCATTCCCACGACTCCAACTGTCTCTGAGTCTTTTTATACAAACCTTCACGTTGTAACCAGAACAGGAAGGCTCACTGTTGCATGTACTTATAACTCACGGAAAATAATAAATGCATAACGATGGTGACTCTTACTTACCTATGATTGTGCATGGCCAGACTCCGTTTCTTACCTCTACTGAGTATTTTAGCAAGTTCTACCATTGACAGAGTGATTAACAGAGGTCTGTATGTAAAGTTACTATTTCTTTACTTAATTATACTGTAGTGTGCAGATAACAAAAGACCTACCTTCTCATCCAAATGGCCAACAGAGATCACGCCTCTTAGACTGGTCATTTCACGTCAATATTTATTTATGTCTGTAATAAAAAAAAAAGTGATTTTTGTGTGTGTCTGTCATGTTATTTAGAGAGAAGTAATCCTGTAAAAAAAAGCATTTTGTAAAAAAAAAAAAAAGTATTGTAAATAGTCTGATATTCTGTGACTCATTATTTTCATGTTAGAGTTTGTACATACTGATTCAGTAATAAAGTATCCTTACACCTGCCCGGTGGACTAGACTCATTTATTAAAAAAAAAAAAAAAAAAAAAAACCACACTTTTGTTTTTCCATTTTTTTCCCATGTTCCCAGCAAGAGTCAAAAAGTCAGTATGAATGGAATTTGAGGTGTGGCAAACGTACTTCATCCTAATGAAAGTATTCTGGGGCCTGGCGATGACACTTGAGATTTCTTTCATAGTATTTACTTACGGCTGTTATTGCTGATGGCTTTGGTGGCATTTTTTGTCAATAGTCTACAATTCAAAGTGTCCCCCTCCCCCATGCATGCATACAAGGCTAGAGGTACGAACTTCTCTTAGTCCTCGTCCCTGCCTCTGTGGTTTCCAACACCATGCACTGTATTCAGAGCTCCCCGTTTCCAGCATCCAAGGACAATTGTGAGCCTTTCCTGTACTTCCCACTGGGACATCAGCATATCTATCTGCTCTGAATGAGCCAAATGCCACCACATAAAGAGTGAGGAATAGCGTGGTGTTCTCCAGGGGAACCTCAATCTTCTCCTTCCTCCATAAAATCACCCACTTGATTTATACATTCATTCGACAAACATTCCCTCAGTTTCTGCTGTGTACCTGGTCCTGTTCTAGAGGTGGGACATTGCCTACAAAAGGAAAGCTCCCCGTTTGCTTTCTTCCTCAAAGTAGGCAGAGGCGTGATAGATAAGATAGGACAATAAATGAACAGCAAATAATAATAAATGGAAATGCTCAGAGGTGGGGAGCTGAGACGCTGTGGGATGCAGGGAGAGAGAGGCCAGGATAGGAAGTTCAAGGTCTCGCGAATATTTTTAAAGATCAACCTGGCGGCCATGGGCAGAAGAGCTGGTGTGAAGAAAAATAAAGGGGCAGATCAGGCCGAAGACGTGGCCTTTGTCCTGGCAAAGACGGGATTGCGGATTAAAATGCAACGGTCACAGATGTGCAGGGAAGCCAACAGATTGGGGCCACAGTGTTTTGGAAGCCACAGTGATAAGACTCATACTGGCAGGTGAGCCCCAGACAGAAACATGTTCTGAACATCACTGCGGAATTTTCAAATCACAATGGTGACAGGTTCTTTAAAAACAATTAGCAATAACATGTACGAATCCAGACCCCAAAGGCCACATACTGTAGGACTGCATTTTTTAAATGTTTATTTTTGAGAGAGAGACAGAGAGAGAGAGAGAGAGAGAGAGAGAGAGAGAGGCCGTGAGTGGGGGAGGGGCCGAGAGAGAAGGGGACAGAGGATCTGAAGCAGGCTCCGTGCTGACAGCAGAGAGCCTGATGTGGGGCTCGAACTCATGAACTGTGAGATCATGACCTGAGCCAAGGCCGGACGCTCAACCGACCGAGCCGGCCGGGCACCCCTGTATGCCTGCATTTTTATCAGACGTCTGGACTGGGGAAGTCCCCATGCAGAAGGCAGATGGGTGGTCGCCAGGAGCTCGGGGTGGGGGCATGCCAGTGACTGCTCCACAGGCACAGGACCTCCCTCTGGAGTTAATGGAAATGCTCTGTACCTACAGGATATGGTTGCACAACATTGCGAATGTACCAAATGCTACTGGGTTGCACACTTTTAACACTTTGTGTTTACATGACTCTTACTTCGATAGAAAACAAATGTTAGCAATCCTAATATAGATACATCTGTATCCCTAATATATTTACCTATATGCACAGGTATACGTCATGGTGAAGAGGCTGCATGTCTGAGAAACCGGTCTTGTTCAGTGAAACTAAATTTAACTGTAATTAAAATGTATAGATTTGAAAAGTCATTTCATGGACTAACAGTAATCCAGGTGCATATCCATGGTCTACAAGTAGCTTTGAGAAAGAAAAAAAAAAAAAAAAGGAAACTGAAATTCATTATCTACAACAGTAAACGCTGCCCAAAGTAGGGAAGTTTCCAGTCTCAGATTACTGTAACACGTAAAGATTGAGTTTTGAATGATCGCCCCTGGTTATTAGCATGACCCTGGGTCAGTGGCTCTCAGAACTGGCTGCCTACTTGAATCCCCTGGGAGGCTTTGAAGAAGGCCAGTGTCTTCTGGTACCTTCAGACGTGGAGTGACGTGTGGACAACAGAGCTGTTTGAAAGCTAATTCCCCAGCTAATTCTCGTATGTGCCTGATGTGGAGAACCGCTCTTCCAGACGATGGGAAGATACGAATGAACGACAAATGGTATAGACATTCCCGCTCGCAAAGCTGAAGGAGTACAGAGTCCTACCGTAGCATACAATTGGATTGCACCGGAGTGAAGTTTTCTGACCACACTTTATGCTTCACTGAATCATATGCGAAGACAGACACACAGACACTGAGTACACATGCAGATAGTCCCACGTGTAGACAGACGCAGGTATACCTAGAGATAGCCCAGTCTTCTCTTGGTACCTGGGGATTTACTGTGGCACATACTGATACAACATATAGGTGGTCAGACACAGCTCGGATATTCTAATGTGCCGTTAGTGGAAATTATAATCTTTTCTGGCCTGGTGAAACAGCTTTCAGAGAGGCAGCTTGTAGTGATTTACATGTAGTCAAAGACAGCCAATTAGAACCGATCTGTCCGTGAACTTCCAGCCCCAGACTGTGTGCAATCCAAAACTGATTCTGATTGACCTCTTTGTCCTAGATATCTCCTTCCTCATCTCAAACGACAGCCCATCAAAAGCAATTGGCTGCATCACGAATAATGGAAACCATTCCTCATGCCTTCCTTGAGTGCACCCTCTGGGTATTGCGCTGGGTCGATCATAAGGCCCTCTCTGTAGTTTACAAGGGAAACAGCTAATAGAATTAACCCCTACAGCTAACATTTACTGAGGGCGCAGTAACAGTGAGGCACTTGGCTAAGTGTGCTATCTGCATGAGTTCATTCATTTCTTCAATCATCCTAAGGGGATGGCAGCATGTTAAAGCTGAGGAAAGTGAGATACAAGTTAAGTCAGCTCCAGATCAGGTAGCTAGTGAGTTACAAAGTCTGAAAATGAACCTGGGCCATGAGTATCAGGCCACTAGACTCTTCTGCCTGTCAGCCTGTCCTCCATAAGCTCAAGTTACAAAAGGTACTGTGTACAGCATGGCAGAAAGGAGGATCCTAGGCTCCCCTCGTCCTACAGCTATAATCATATGAATGCACCCATATGAGTGTAAATAAGCCAGGAAATGACCCAAGACTCTCCACAACTAAATGTAGAAAAGAGGCCGTGTTGAGAATAGGAAGGGCAGAGACGTGTTCGGGAACCAAACACCTGCAGGACTGTCTGAGGGAGGGAGGGACACTGCGGGTACAGAGAAGGGAGAGGAGGAGAAACCAGAGCAGGCACTCCCCAGCTCTGGGGACCCACATGGGGAAAACAAATACCCATAATGTTTGGCTTTGAAAACCAGAGGCACGTGACTTCTAAGTTCTAACAATCCTGGGGCTTAACACCTAGAATTTTAAACATCACCAGGCTCGGCTCTGGGAGAGCCAGAGGGTGAGAGGAAACTCAGTCTTTGCCCATCAAGTGGCAGCATAACAAAGAACTGTTGAGGTACAACATAGAAGCAACGGTTTGAACAACAACTGGGGTATATGGGAGGGAGATGTGTTGACTAATCTAGGAGCACAGGATAGAAGGGCACAAATCCTCAGGAGACTTCTTCAAGAACTAAAGAGCTGGTGGGCACCATTCCCACCACCAAACCAGCCCTACAATAAATGTTAAAGGCATAGTTTTGAATGGAAAGGAAAGACCATAAGCAGGAGTAAGGAAAGGAGGAGCACGGAAGCAGTTAAAGTAAGTATATCTATAAAAATCAATCAAGGGATTCACAAAATAAAAGGATGTAAAGTGTGATACCATATACATAAAACGTGTGTCACGGGGGAGAGGAGTAAAGAATGGGTACAAATGGGGGCGCCTGGGTGGCTCAGTCGGTTGGGCGTCCGACTTTGACTCAGGTCACGATCTCACGGTCCGTGGTTTCAAGCCCCGCATTGGGCTCTGTGCTGACGGCTCAGAGCCTGGTGTCTGCTTCGGATTCTGTGTCTCCCTCTCTCTGTCCCTCCCCCACCAGTGTGCGCTCTCTCTCTCTCTCTCTCTCTCAAAGGTAAATAAACATTAAACATTTTAAAAAAGGGTATAGGGGCATCTGGGTGGCTCAGTCTGTTAAGCGTCTGACTTCAGCGCAGGTCATGATCTCACAGTTCATGGGTTTGAGCCCCGCATCGGGCTCCATGCTGACAGCTCAGAGCCTGAAGCCTGCTTCAGATTCTGTGTCTCCTTCTCTCTCTGCCCTTCCCCTGCTCTCTCTCTCTCAAATATAAATAAACATTTTTTAAAAATTATTTAAAAAATGGTACAGGGGTGTCTGGGTGGCTCAGTTGATGGGAGTGTCTAACTTCGGCTCAGGCCATGATCTTGCAGTCTGTGAGTTCGAGCCCCATGTCGGGCTCTGTGCTGACAGCTCAGAGCCTGGAGCTTGCTTCGGATTCTGTGTCTCCCTCTCTCTCTGCCCCTCCCCCACTCATGCTCTGTCTCTCTGTCAAAAATAAAAATAAACATTAAAAAATGGTACGAACATAACCAACTACCTACAAAATATATACTGCTATATGCATAAGATGTTATATGCAAACCTAATGTAACCACAAATCAAAAATCAGTAACAGATATGTAAAAAATAGAGAAGGGAATCCAAGTATGTCACTAAAGAAAGCCAAGTAACTGAGAACAGAGCAAGAGAAGAGAGGAACAGAGAAGAACCAGAAAAACCATACAGCGAGTAGCAAAATGACAATAAATACATAGCTATCA